TGGTGCTGCCAATTGGCCTAGTAGTGAGAATCTTTGTTTTCTTGATGTTGAGCTTCAATCCATATTGAAGACTACAGTCCCTGACATTTTGCAGCAAGCTCTTCATGTTTTCTTCAGTTTCAGCAAACATTGTGTCATATGTATCTTACAGGTTGTTGATGAGTCTTCCTGCAGTCTTGATGCCACACTCCACCTCATTAAGCCCTGCTTCCCAAATGATCTGTTCTGCATACAGATTGAAAAGGTATGGGAACAGGATGCATCCCTGACCCACTTCTTTTCTGATTTTTGAGCCATGCAGTGTTTCCTTGCTCTCTTCTTAGCACTGCTTTTTGGTCCAACTATAGATTTCGCATAAGCACAATCAAGAGTTCTGGAATTCCCATTTTCCTCAAGGTTAGCCACTATTTGTTGTAATCCACACAGTCAAATGCTTTTTCATAGTCAATGAAAACTAGACATTTTTCTGATACTCTGTGCTTTCTGTCAAGAGCCATCTGACATTGGCAATAGTATCTTTAGTGCCAGAACCTCTTCTAAACCCAGCTTGTATTTCTGGTAGTTCTCTGTCAATGTGCTGTTCTGAATAATCGTCATCAGGATTTTGCTAGTGTGTGATATTAGTAATATTTTTCTATAATTTCCACACTCTGTCAGGTCACCTATTTTTTGGTTGAGAATAAAAATTTTTCCCCAATCTGTAGCTTTCCTTTTTATGCTCTTGGAGACGTTTTTGGATGCGCATAGGGATTTGATTCTTAGAAGGCTCATTCATCTATTTTATCCTCTCCTGGTTGTGGATTTTTTTCCCCCAGGATGCTTAGAAGACTGTTCATGTTGTGGATTAGGGCTACTAGAGTTCTTCCAACCTTTTCTCTAATGAAGTTTGTAGTCCTAGGTCCTTGATCCACTTTGAATTGGATTTTGTGTATGATGTGAAGTGTGCGTCTTGTTTATGTTTTCTACAGATAGTTTTCCAATTTTACAACACCATTTGTTAAAGAAGCTTTTGTTTCCCCACTTAACTGAATTCATCTCCTTGTCAAACATCAGTTGACATAGGTAGATGAGCTGATTTCTGGGTTCTCAATTCTATTCCATTGATCTATGTGTCTGTCACTATACCACTACCAGACTGTCTTGACCACCACAACAGTGTAGTAGGATTTGAGATCAAACAGTGAGATGCCTCCTACTTTGTTTCTCTTTTTCAAATGTGCTTTGCTTATTTGGGGTCTCTCCCTTCCAGATGAAATTGGAAGTTGCCTTTTCCATCTCGTTCAAGAATAGAATTAGTATCAGTATTAGGATTGCATTCAGTTTGTAGATTGCCTTTGGCAGAATTGTCATTTTCACAGCAATGATTTTTCCTAATCAAGAACGTGGTATATTCTTCCATTTCTCCAGGTCTTTTTTTGTTTCTTATATTAATGTTTTGTAATTTTCTTTGAATAGGTCTTTTGTGTTACTCCCAAGTATTTAATCTTGTGATTAGGTATTGTGATGGGTATTGTTTTTCTTAGCTCCATTTCTGTATTCTCTTTGTCACTATAGAGAAATGCAACTGATTTTTGTATGTTGATCTTGTATCCTGTCACTTTGCTGAATTGGTTAACTATGTCCAGTAGTTTTCTCACTGAGTCTGTAGGGTTTTCTAAGTACACTATTATATCATCTGAATATAGAGATAATTTTACCTCCTCTTTGCCAATTTGGATACCTCCTATTTCCTTCTCTTGTCTTATTGCTATCGCTAAGACTTAAAATACAATATTGAATAGGAGAGGTGATAGTAGGCATCCTTGCCTAGTTCCTGTTCTCAAAGGGAATGCCTTTAATCTCTCTCCATTGAGAACAATGTTGGCTCTTGCATTTGCATTTACACTTTTTACTATGTTGAGTAAATCCCCCTCTATTCCTATTTTGTTGAGTGTTTTAATCAGGAAAGTGTGTTGGATTTTGTCAAAGGCCTTTTCTGCATCAATTGATAAGATCATGTGGTTCTTGTTCTTTGCTTTGTTAATGTAATGAATTACATTGATTGTTTTTCTTATGTTGAACCATACTTGTTATGAATCCCATTTGGTCATGGTGAGTTTTTTTTTTTTTATGTACTGTTAGATTCTATTGGCCAGGATTTTAGTCAGGATTTTTGCATGTATACTCATGAGAGATATTGGCCTACAGTTTTCTATTTTGGTAGTGTCTCTACCTTACTTTGGTATCAAGGATATATTTGCTTGACAGAATGATTCTGGGAGAACTTCATATTTTTCTACTTTCTGAAATACTTTATGTAGAATTGGTGAACGTTCTTCTCTGAATGTTTGATAAAATTCTCTTGTAAAACCATCTGTTCCAGGGCTTTTTATTGGGGGGGCGGGGGTTTGTTTGTGTGTTTGTTTGCCAGCTCAGCTTCTTACCACTAGGTCACCAGTGTGGCCTAAATAAGCATAGAGAAAATGGTTACATTGTTGTAATTTGACTCACCCTATTTTAACCAAGCCTTCTGGGATAGGGATGGCTTGTATTGGGGGAAGAGATGGAAGCTACCAGGGGCAATCTATTCTCACTGCCAGGTGAAAGCTGTCAGCCATCTAGAAGATGTAGGGTTTCCTACTTTTCAGCCTCTCTTTCCATACTCTCCAGCGTATGTATGAATTATTACTCCCTCTTACCAAAACACTTGATTTTCCATTTTGTTGCATTGGGATGGTGTGCATATTGTTGTGATGTTGGGAGCTATGCTCCTTGTATTTGAAATACCAGCAAGTTCTCTGAGGATGGATAGGTTTCAGTGGAACACCAAGACTAAGACTAGGAAAACAGCCTGGTGATCTGCTTCCAAACTAAGCCAATGGATTGAAAGCTCATGGATTATTGTCTGAAGCATTAATATGTGCACTTTGGACATGGCAACAGAAGGCGCGGATTGCTGGAGAATGAAATTATGTTTGGTAAGGTGGATGGTTAGTGAGGTAAGAGAAACGCTTGATGAAGTAGCTGCAACAATAGCCACAACAGTGGGCTCATACAAGCCAGCATTCATGAAGATGGTGCGGGACCAATCAGCTTTCCTGTTCCTTAAGTAGCCATGAATCTGAGACACCTGGTCAGCAACTGTTGATAGGTGCTGTTGAATGAGTACAACTCTTAGCAACCCTGTGAACAACAGATCTGAATCCTGTCCTATCCTGTGCCATGCTCACAATCTCTGACACCCTCAAGCCCATTGCTGCAGTCAGTCACTGTGTCAGTCCACCTGGTTGAAGGTCTTCCTCTCCTTTGCTATCCTTAAGGATAGCAATCAGCAGCTGCCAAAGCATATTCCACCTTCTGTTTTCAGAGGTACCTAGGAAGAAATGTTGGCAGACTGTTTCTGAGGGGGCGAAAATCAGCCACTCAAAACCCTGTGGAACACAGTTCTAGTCTGACACACATGGGATCTCTGTGAATTGGGTTTAACACAGTGGCAATGGATTTGGTTTGGGCTTATCTTGTGCTACACTAGAAGCAGTAGGAGTGGAGAGAAATTGGAATGCAAAGGTATTAAAAAGATCGAATCAGCAGTGTTCTGTGATTGAATTGGAGTGACTGCCTACTTTTTGTTATTGTTATTGTTGTTGTTTGGTGCTGTTGAATTGAGTACGACTCATAGTGACCCTATGAACAACAACAAAAAAAAGATCTGAACCCTGTTTTATTCTGAGCCATCCTCACATTTCCTGACACATTGCAGCAGTCACTGTGCCAATCCACCTGGCCACGGGTCTTCCTCTCCTTTGTTGACCCTCCACCGTTCTCAGCATCATGTCCCTCTCCATGGAATAACACCTCCTAGCAACATATCCAAAGTAAGGGAGGTGAGGCTCATCATTTTTGCCTCCAAAGAGCACTCCAGCTGCACCTTCTCCAAGATATATCTGCTTGTCCTTTTGGTAGCCCATGGGATGTTCAGTGCTTTTCTACAGCACCATAGCTCAAATGCATCAATTCTTCTGTCATCCTTATTCAACTTAGTAAAACATTTTAATACCTGTCTATATTTTTATTATACCCATATATTTATTTGGTTAGAGTTTAGATGTACTCAAAAATTAAGACTCAATCTTGTACAGGAACTTAAAATGATTACTTCATTCTTGCTATCTTTCTGAAGATTTCACACACACACACACACACACACACACACACACACACAGAGGTAGAAACTATGTATATGCGATTCTTTTGGCAACTGTGATGAGCTTATTGTGAAGATTGTGTTGCTTATTGCTTAGAAGGAGATGTAAGAACAGCACACATTTGCATTCTTGTCTTTACTGGTTGTCAGCATTGATTCACGATGACCCCTTGTGTGTCAGATTAGAGCTGTGTGCCAGAGAGTTTTCAAAGACTAGATTTTTGAAATAAAATTGCCAGGTCTTTCTCCAACTGTGCCTTCTGGGTTGACTGGAAGCATCAACTTTTCCTGTATCACCTCGGGGTTTTGTAGCTGCAGGTTTGCACTGTTAGGAAGGCTGCACCCTCCCTCAGCCATCTGGTGCGCACTGTGACCTACTTTCCTTGGACTGGCCCTGTTTCCCCAGGATGGATCATGAAGCCGCCCAGCTGGAGAAGCAGCATGTGCATGATGTGTATGAGAGCACCGCTCCTTACTTCAGTGACCTGCAGAGTAAAGCCTGGCCTCGCGTCCGCCAGTTCCTCCAGGACCAGAAGCCCGGCAGCCTCATCGCTGACATAGGTAACCAGGGTTAGGTACAGAGTGTAAAATATATGCCATGGTATAAAATAGGCTCCATTTCCATTTTCATTATACCAGGAATCCTGGAATTGTATGCTTGGCACACTGGTGCCGAGAACACTCACTTTAGAGCAGCAATGCATATGGTCAAGTTGGCAAGCAGAAAACTTGCCCAAGACTACATTTAAAGAGTGAAAACCCCAGAGCCTCTGTCAAAATTACTGACGTTGTGATATATGATTGGGTATTATGGTTATGACAAGAGTCTAGAATGAAGGTTACATAGTGGAGTGTACTCAGGAGGGAGTAGGGGGATTGTATATCAATGAAGGAATTTTTCTTTTACTTTTCAAAGAGAAGAGCGAACTGGGGGGGAGGGGCAGAGAGAAAATTGCAACAATGCATGAATGGGAATCCAAAATGTTCATTAAAATTAAGAAAATAAAATTAAAAATACTGACATTGTTTCAATCAATCAAAATTAAAGTTACCACCTGTGGCATTGACTAATTTAGTGCTAGTCCTATTTGTAAACAGTGCTTTGTACAGGTGGCCCACTGAGCTGAATCCCATGCTGTCTACAGAAGAGTCAGAATTAAGGGATTAGAAAAGAGGTTTTGTACCTAACGTTGATATCCCAGAACTTTACTCTTAACCATTCTGGAGGGCTTGTAGTAGTAAATCATATTTTCATGTTCAATTATATCTTAGTCACTCACAAATCTGCTGGAGAACTTTGGTTCCGTATCATTCTGAACTGCAAAGTGGAAACCACAAGCCAGTGGAGTGAAGGTTATGCTTTAAGATGTGCTATGGGGTTGCATGGAAGTTGTGTTCCAACCTGCACAAATGAGGCATGTCCGTCTAGAACTGCTTTCTAAAACTTCCTAGCGTTTGCAGTCATAAACCTGGACTTAAAATTCTGCCAAGTGCGACATTCACTCTAAAAACAGAGAAGAGAAATAGGTGTGTGCTCATTAAAATTAGGGTAAACAGTGTGAAATCTGAAGAAAAATGGTATGTCACATAGAAATGGAGAGCATTTGAAAACAAGTCATATCATGCCAGGTTTTTAAAAGAATGATTGTGGTTTCGAAAGAGGCAGTAAGGTTGACCCTCTTACTTCTTATCATCTAAGCAAACTTCCTGAATCCTAAAATCAATGGAATAAAGAGAGGTTACTTATGAGATAGCTTTGAGACAACATCATAGAGAATTGGAGCTTCATATGTTGTTTTTATATCCCATCAAGTTGTAACTGATACATAACTGACACCACAGTGGGTTTTCATAGGCAGTAAAGGAGGAGATTGCCCATTTTTCTCCTTCATTAGTGTCATTGGGAGAGTTATTTTTGCATATCCTACATAAAAATAAATTCCAAATAAAGTAAATATTTAGGTATAAGGAAATTAAGTCATTAAAACCCTAGAAGACCACTTCTTGTTGTTGTGTACCAGAGAAGCGACCCATTTGCTGACCCTCTGGCAGGTTTTCAGAGATATTTTAACACACAGGAGGAAATAGATTAGTTTTAAATATTCTCAATGGGCAAAGCTTCTGTATATAGATGGCACAAAAACATCCAGAAATCAAAGCTAGTATACTGATAATGTTGCCCACATAGAAATATAAAAAGCCCTACAAGCCAAAAAGCTCAATAACATACACGGAGTAAGAAAACTAAACAGAAATATATGTAATATATTACACGTTACAAAAAAATAGTGATTTTTGCAATCCCGAAAGCATTCTTCCAAAGTATGAAATAAATGAGCAGTTCAACAGAGAACTGGTAAACAAGTTGTTCAAAAGAAAAATACATTTGAATTTTTTAATGGGTAAATTTTTGGTTGACGTACAAAATGAGGTAGGGAGAAATCTTCTTCCCATCATGGTCCCCAACACTGAGAGACCCATAGCAGAAGAGACTGTTGTGTCATCAACTATTGCTATTTTACGTGGAAATATAGGTATAGTTTTTGATATATTTGTCTTTTTTGACTATACACTTGGCCATATACGATGCAAATAATTATATGCTTATCTGTGTTTCTTTCAATACATTCTGAAGATCCTTCTCAAAAAATATTTCAACTCATTGAGCTTGTGTTGAAAGATGCATCATATTCTATGGTAATATTGAATATTAAAGATTTTTTTGTTACCTGATTATTTTGCTACTATAAGTTATGGTACAAATAATATTCCTTAAATACCTCTGCAAAATAACAATTAAATCTGTAATAAATACATGTATACCTTCTACCTCCTTTGGATCTTTTTAATTTTATGCTATTTATGTTATTTATGTTTTAGCTCTTTAGGAAGCTAAATAATAGGAATGTTTAAAATCAAAGCCAAAATTAAATATAAGAATTAAAGGGAATAAAAAGGAGAAACCTAAAGTGATTAGTAAAAGCGATAGTAGCATTCTAATCTGATTATCACCAAAGAAAAGGTTTTCATTTTCTTTCCAGATTTTCTGTCTGGAACAAATCAATTTTTTTTTTGTTACAGTGGCTCATTTGGCTGGTTATGTACAAAATTACATTGTACATCTGTGTTGTTGTTGTTGTTGTTGTTAGGTGCCATCAAGTTGAATAAGACTCATAGTGACCCAATGAACAAAAGATCTGAACCCTGTTCTGTCCTGCGCCATCCTCACACTTCCTGACACACAAGAGCCCATTGCAGCAGTCACTGTGTCAATCCACCTGGTTGAGGCTCTTCCTCTCCTTCGTCAATCCTCCACCCTTCCCAGAATCATGTCCTTCTCCAAGGAATAGCACCTCCTAGCAATAAGTCCAAAGTATGTTAGGTGAAGCCTCATCATTCTTGCCTCCAAACAGCACTCCGGCTGCACCTTCTCCAAGACATAGCTGTTCATTTTTTTGGCTGTCCATATGATGTTCAGTTCTCTTCTCCAAAACCACAGCTCAAGCTCAAAGGCATCAATTCTTTTTCTGTCATCCTTGCTCATTGTCCAGGTCTCAGATGCATAGCTAGTAATTGGAAAGACTATGGCCTGAATCATACCTACCTTAGTCCTCAAACTATCTATAATTAGTTATAAATTACTAATAAATTGTGTCTAGATAAGCACAAAATTTATCAGGATCCATTTGCCCGTACAGAAATTACTCTGGCAATTTAACTGTTTTAGCTGCAGTTTTATTAACCCCATCACTCATTCTTCAATGTAGCTGACTTGATAAATTTTGTGATAATGGCTTGTGGAAGGAAGTGAAGTGTGGTGAGCAGCGACCAGGGATTTACTAAGCAGAAACGATAACGTCAGTGGAAAGAGCTTTAGTTATTCAAAAGCAGCAGGTATGCCAGAGTACTCTCAAGAAACATTATGTCGCCCTGTGAAATTCTAGAAATACCTATATTTGAAGTGGCCAGTAAATGAGATCCAGTAGATAGAGCTCAGAGGGCATTCAGTGGATTGTGGTCTTTACTTGGGTAGGTTTAGAAATGAGAAAGAAGAGAGCTAAATTCTTTTTTTGAGCAAAACTTTTGTACCTTCTCACCTAAAGTCAACAACAAATGCATTAATGGACTCTCACTGCCATCAATAGAATTGACGCATAGCTGACCTTCCAGTGGGTTTCAGCTGTCAATCCCAAGAAGGAGACTTCTTATCTTTTACCTTTGGACCCCCTGGTGACTTTGAATTGCCAGGGCAGTGTGACCTTTGGGTTAGCATCACATCTCACTATGGGCTGGGTCACCAGGGTGCCCTACAATGTCCTAACAGTATGGATAACTTTATGTTGTTCTTCTGCGCTGTCTAGTCAGAATTGACTCAGCTGACCATCTAGTGGGTTTCCAGAGGCATTAAACTGTGTAGGAGGATATTGCCCATCTTTTTCCTGCAGAGCAGCTAGTGGATTCAAACCATTTTGGGTTGGCAGCACAACTCCTTGTCTGCTAGGTCAATAAAGCTCCATAAATATACATACACACACATAAATATACATGCACGCACGCTTCTTGTTGTGTATCATCGAGGCAGAACCAACTCCTAATTAACCCTCCTGTAGTGGATTTTCAGCGTCAGTAAGTCACACAGGAGGCAATTGCCAGTCTTTCTCCCTTAGAGCTGCTGGTGGATTTGAACTGAGTCCCTTTATGTTGCCAGCACAACTCCTTGTCAAGCCATCGAACACTAAATTGTATGTGTGTGTAAAAATATAAATTAGTTTTTCAGTAAGTTAAGATGCTCTTTACCTCTTAAGTCTTGTTACTTAACAATTTCTGTGGTCACATTTAATTTGGTAAATCATTCCTTCTGTATTACTCTTTCATTGAATCAATAAAAATTTAGAGTCACATGCTTGGAAGGGTGGAGGGACAGTGCAAGAGAGGAAGACCCTGGATGATATGAGTTGACTCAGTTACTGGTGTAATGGGGTGGGTGTGTCAGAGACAATGAGATTGGCTCAAGATAGAGCGGGGTTCAGAGCTTCTGGACATAAGGTCGCTATGAGTAGCAGGTGACTCGGCAGCACATAACAGCTCTGTGGCTGCCCCCTAAAAACAAGGACATATTGTCAGAAGGATCAAGGACATCATACTGGGGAAAGTAGAGGATAGGATCAGGGGAAGAAAGGAAGACCACCCCCTTCCGATGGATTGACACAGTGACTGCAACAATGAGATTGAGCAGATCAGAGATTGTGAAGGTATCGATCGCAGGATTGGGCAAGGTTCAGATCCATTGTTCATAGGGTCGGTGAGTCCCAGTCAACTAGATGGCACCTAACAACAACCACCATGAGGCAGGTTCTGTGTCTGCAGAATACAATATATTCTCTCCTCTAACTGTAAGAAGTGTATTCAAAGTGAAAAGAAATAGGATATATTCCTTTATCTTGAGCAAAATAGAGATTTCTCTTTTAAAAAGCAAATACTCTTTTAGTTAAGATATCCCCATAGAAGTCACAAGGGAGATTAAAAAAAAAGAAAAAAAGTTGTTTTTGCTGACTTCAGAGGAAGCATTCTGATTAATATAATTCTTCCCAACAAATACTTGAATGCCATGGATCAAAGCATCTTATTAATGGAAGCAACGATCTGTTTCCTTCTTTAGCGGTTGAGATGGTGCAGAATACAAACCAGAGACGTGTGCGTGCGTGCAGACGCTTTTCCTTTCGTTCTGCACGAGGTCACTGCTTGATGGGATTCTATGGAAAGGCGTGATAATAGGATGCTGGAGCTTGCTGTGGCATCAGGAATGTTCTGGTTCACTGCTTTCACATTTCAGATAACGGGGTAACCAGGCCTGGAGTCATTATTGATTTCCTCATTAGTATCAAATCTTCCCTTTTGTAGCATCACACTCTGTGCTCTTAAAAACTGGATAAGTGCCCCGATTTTGGAGTTCTACAACTGCCCTTCAGAAGCAGTGCATCAGAAATGAATACAGAGTAGCTCAAATGGGCCAGGGGCATTTGAAATGTGTCAGGAGCTGCTCAGATTTAGAACCACCTCAGCTTCCTCATTACCACTATCATGGAAGAAATTTTCCCTTCCAAAAAAAATTATAGTGTTCTTTTTCTTGATACATGATAAGCATCTATGAAGTACATAGGATTTTAATTTCAAATTATTTTATGAGTTACACTTTCCCCAGACTTGTGGATATTCCTTCTCAATGAATGTCGCTAGGTACAATGACTCTTCAGGCAAAAATATTTCTAGGATCCTACCCATTTACATTGGAATAATAGCATTAGAATTTTTTTTCTCACAGACTCACTGTCTCAGATTACACCATTGAACCTTAATTATACTTCCAATGTTTCACACAATTTTGAACTGTACCTATTAAAGAGAAGCCAATAAAACTGATTGTGATGTAATTCAGAAATAGACAAGTAATCATCTTTAAATAGCTGTAGATAGTTCTTTGAAACAGAGGAGAATATATAGCTAATAACTATTGATATCAATACCACCAAGTGATGACTTTAAATATTTCTAGAAAGGAATTAGATTATATGATTGTACTAGGATGTGATGTTTGGTGCTGGAAAAAGGCTTTGTTTCAAAATGACTACTCATGTTTCTACTTTCTTCTTCAAAAGTTACTAATAAGATCTGTTGTTGTTGAGTGCCTTCAAGTTGCTCACAACTCATAGCTACTCCATGAACAAAAGACCTGATGCCTTTCTGTAAGTATCATTTCTCCAAGTTCATAGAGTTTCCAGAGGCATGTGGTTTAGGAAGTGGATGCCGCTCCTGTTTTCCACCCTGTCTTAAACTGGGAGCTCCACCAAACACCGTCCACCATGGGCAACCATTGTGCCATTTGAGACCCCAGTGGTATAAGATTCAGTTTCAAAGCAAACCCAGATTACTTCAGCACAGCAAATTGACAGAAGAGTGCATCATGACTTAGAAGAATGTTCCTCCAAAGTGTAGTAGCATGGGATTAAAAGGTAATCCCTCAGACCCAATTTATTAAATATAAGGGCTCTCCAGGAGGTTTTATTGACTCTAAACAAGAGGCTTTAATAAGAAAAATAATTAAAAAAAAAACAACACCCGTTCCACAATGACCCTCAACCACAACAAGAGAGCCTATCTTAGAGTCCAGTCGCTTCACCCAGTTTCCAAAATGGAGACAAGGACTTGGCCTTTAATGCAAGTGTCTTACTTGAGGTCTTGTTGACACTAAATAAGAGGTTTAAACAATGAAACAATCCACACAGATCCTCAGCCAAAACAGGAGCACCATCGTACAGAGTCCTAATCTATTAGCGAACCACATATTGTTAACCATGTGTAACCACTATGACATTTGACAGACAAATTTCAATATCACAGCAGTCCATAGTTACCTCAATACAGAAAAATGATAGAGAAGTGCTGTACCAAATAGAAGTGTTAATTTCAAAACCAATGACAACCAGGTCTGAGGGCTTGCAGCCCTAGGGCCCAAGTGAACTTTAAAAGGCCCACACATCAGGCTCTCATTGGTTCCCAGCAAGATGCTTCCAGCCAGCCAAAAAACGACCCACAGCCTTCCCACACCAACACAGAAATAAGATCTAGTTTATCTTAATCTTTAAACTCAACTAGTTGATTGCCAGGAGTCAGAACTTACTCATAGCTGACCCTCCAATGGGTTTTCAAAGGCAATAAATTGCACAGGAGGAGACTGCCCATCTTTCTTCTGAGGAGCAGCTGAAGGACTCGAACTGCTTACCTTTAGGTTAGCAGCACAACTCCTTACCCACTAAGCCACCAGAGCCCCCTGATCTAAATCTTTGGAATACATGAATCTTGAGTCATTTTGGACCTCTGTCACTAGAAAGTGAATGCTGAAAATTATCTATGTAAGAAAAAAAGATTAGCTTTCTGTTAGAGTTTACTAAGTCAATACAGATTTAAAACCTAGCACTCCTAGAAGATTAAATACAAATTCTTTGTTGTTCAAATTAAAATAAAAAACCTGAAAT